CTTTCTCGTGGGACATACTGCTAGATATGTTTGGCTTGGAAGATGGATCTGAGTGACTTCCTGGTTCACAACAAGAGCTGCAACTTACAAATGACCCACAACTCAGACTAACGAGAAATCAGAGACGACCACAATGACTACAAGTTGACCCAAGGCGAAAAGCTTTGAATAACCTCTAGTTCGAACGCTGCAAAAGCAGACTCAATTCGAAAAGGGAGGTATTCAGAGGCCGCAAAATAAGAACGCGACACATTTTCATGACACTAGTACGGCATGCGATAGACCAAGCGGAAAGATGACCCACTCAGCTTGCAATTCACTCCACAGGTTACCACGCAATTCAGAGCAGTTGACGGAGCCAGTTCACCATCGCCGCGAGGGTCGCCGTGGTGCGGACGTGCTAATAACTACAGGAAGACATGGAAGGCCACCAGCAGGGTTCAATAGGTTCAGGCAAGAGACGTGAAACACCTCAGTGACGGACCGGCGGTGTGCGCATGTGACCCGTAAAATGAACCGTGTTCTGTTCAGTATGCATTTCAGTCTAGCAGGCCTCGATGTTTTGTTTCTACTCCGGCTGGGTTGGCAGCGTAGAGGCAGGCAGAATTAGAACAAAAACCCACAATAGTGAAGGTCCGTTATGCTTCAACTGGTATGTTTGGGAAGTTAGAGCTCCGGACCCTTCGGCTCTTATGATTGGCAGTGATTCAATTTTACAGAATTGGACGCTATCCCATTGTGAACCCCAGACATGGATGACCCAGGAGACTGCATTTGTCTAACCTCTAACCATTGACCAACCCGGTAGGAGTAGCTTTCAAGGGGCACGGGGTATGCCGCTTCGCAGCCAGTTGCGTCCAACCTGCACTGAATCGGAATTGACGGAGCTGACAAATGTCTTTCCTCCTCTTCTCTACACACGAATGAACTAACGGAGCTTAACATGAAAGCACAATTACACGCGAGACCTAGGTAACGAAGTCCTTACCGTGAGTATACGGCGATACAAGGCAAATTTGCGGTTTAGCTTTCCTCTCACCATATAGGCTTCTCTGTGGAATCAGTTGCCCTTCATCATCAGGTCGTGTGAAACTGTGAAATCCTTTCGTAGTTAGTTGGGAAGCTACCTCTACCTGGACACCAATATGTCGTTTTTCGTGGAAAGACCATTTGAACATTCATTCACTGAAAAACTAGATAAAGTCTAATTTGTGTAATCCCACCACTTCACGCAACGCAATTAGTCCTCCGCGTCTACAACAGTCAAACTGCAAAGTTGCCTCCTACCAGCGCATAAGACGAACATATGGGACAAATACTTTGCGTGAATTGCTGACAAATACAAGAAGATAACTTGATATGGCTCTTGCAAGAGCATGACATCACCTGTGTATATATGTCCTGTGCCAATTATGGTCACAGCTTTTCACTTAGTTAGAAATATGCCCATTATTATTATTATTATTATTATTATTATTATTATTATCCTCATGCGGTATATTGTTTCCACCAGGCAATACTAATCTGGAGCCTAAATGTGACACTGATACCGTGCACCTTAGACCGATCGAAATTTGTGCGCTCGATACGTCACGGACTGCTCGAAGATGCGCTGGAAATTTGCCACAGGGACACCGGCTAACGGCCGGGTCAGAATACGAACCAATGGTAACTCTTTCCGACAAAAGCTCTGTTAAAGGACTGCTGAGGGAGAACGCTCAAACACCTCATCCTACGTTGACCAGCTACAGTCAGTGTTTTTAGCACTGACACTCTCATGCCTGTCTGCCTTCCGGTAACACTAATGTGTCAGCCTACTCGGGAGCATACTTCTGCCCTATAGATGCACACATCTAGTCCTGCACTTACATCCAGGGAATCACATTGGCTAATGTCCCATGACCAAGGAGAGTGTCACCGATAGCGCATGTATGTAACCACTCAGGGAGAGATGGAATTGATGCGCGCGTGAAGTTGAGTGAACGACACGTTATTTTGATACTTTAGCAAGCTAACTTGTTAGCATTATGCTTGGAGTTGCCTGTAAAAAGGTGTATTTTAGTGAAATTGTGGGATTTTGGAGCCGCTGTTACGTATTCTATGTGTGGAGCAGGGGTTAAATTAATCATTCTGAGCATTATATCGCGAACCAGCACATCATCTTTATAAACTGTAGGATATAAGTAGTTTGGGTGGACGCATTCCTGTCATGTAAGCATAAATAAGCATAAATAAACTGCCCGAAGAGAGAATAAGAGGGGAACCCGAGTATCTAATGTAAACCACAGATATCCTGAGTAAACATTCTGTACTAAGGTGCAAAATGCTGCCCGATCACAAACGGTCGTTTAACGTGTTTTCATCTGTCCGGCAACCTTGTCTCACATTCAGGCAACATCAAGCGCATTATAGGTGCCGGTTGCAAACCATGTTCTGTGGTGCCTCAATCCAATTACGGACAACAGCCGTGAAAGTCGGGTATTTCATACCTGTCGAATCTAGTTGTCAGAGATTTGACCTTCTGATAGTAGGTCAGTGACTACCGGACGTGGAGCGAGTAAAATGATGCCGTTCGGATGAGCACAGGTGACATGTGGCTAGAAGAACGTAAGACATTCGATATCGTTCGTTGAGCCAAAGAAGTACATTCATTATCACCACCTAGTGCTCAGTTGTCATTCACCGTTGCAGACATACTGCTATCTATCGGATGCATGATACTGCGACACGGTTTCTAAATCCTCAATGTTAGTTTAGATTTCCTGTGTCCGAGTTGCAAGCTTATTCAGCACGTTCACTCTTAAATCTTAAGAGTATTGTTAGATAGGATAGGGTTCTAGGTCAAAGCATGTTGCAGTCGGAATAGCGGAGCTGAAAAACCAACTACGGCGCATTAGACAGCGTTGCGGTGGCCAGTACAAGCATTGCTGACAGACGATTGTAGCTTAGTACTTAGGAAGTTCAACAAGTATTCACGATAGGGGAAGTTCCATCACAGTCTAAACAAGGAAATCAGAAGCAAATTGTAGTTGGTAACGAACGGTAAAATTAGAATATCGGATTGGCTCGACAATAAAGATGGACATGACCACCTCAGGGGAATGAGGCAGACAAATGGTGTGCGATTCAATTTGCGGTATAGCCGAATGTGCATATGCGCCATGAAGGCTACAGCGGGAACAGTACCTGCTATTAATCGACTAGATACAGTCACAAAGTACAGCTCACCTACCATCCCGATCGGTGGTGGCTTGTACGGACAGTTGTAGCTTTAGGGGGAAGCCCTATCCTCTGCGCCCTCGTAACGAGCACGGTACTTGAAGATGAGCCACGCTAAATCACAGCTAGTAATCAGTAGTGGCGCTACAGCACCGTCACGATTTAAGTCGTTACCTTAAACGCACGAGGTATAAGTTCGGTTCCAAGAAGAGTAGGAGAAAAATGTGCCGTGGATAAGTCCGAGCAGGACGAAACGCCCGTCCAGCATTTTCCTGGATGTGTGTGGGCCTACCGGATGGGAACTGGTTGCGAGAAATCGCCTCCCAAATTTTCCAGCGCGTTGGTGGTAGTACTAGGTGACAGGTACGCGTCTCGGACAGAGAAAGGTAAGCTAGCGGGCAAAGTAGGCGCTAGCTTGATTAAGTGGGGGCGGGAGCAGCATATGCTTCTCAGGGAAAGAAAAGGCAACAGGAACTCAAGCAACGAAGGATTCTAAGACTAATTGCGTGGTGTTGTAGTTGCGTAAAAACCCCTTAAAACGAATTTCGCATCTTGAGAGACAAGGATCAGCTCTCCTTCGTTGGTGTTGGTGGGTTATGTTACGAAGAGAAAGCTTACAGCCAGCGACCAAGCCGAGAGCAGTGGCGTAGAAGCGGATCGATCTACAACTAGAGATCGAACTCGAGTACAGATCAAAATGCGAATCGATGTGGAATCAGCGGCAAGTTGGGTCATGAACTTGAGCCATTTGAGTTGTGTTAATTAACATCAATTAGCATCTCCAATATTATCATGTTAGTAGTTGTCCACAACCTATTTATTGCGCCATGCTCTCATACAATACGTCTCTCTGTCTACCTAGTTCTGGCCTTTTGTATTCCGTCGGTTGGCTGGGCGCGTGACTGATCAGTCAGACAGTCGCAGTCTTAAGGGGCAGCTATCAGCAGTACGACAGTCGTCTGGACAGAGAGCAGAGGTAAAGAAGAAGCGTTACAACAGTAAAGTAGAATCGGTACAACAGTGAACCGTTAAGCTTGGTGAACAAATCTTCAGGTATAGGCAAAGGGTAATGGTGGTTCTCCAACATGGAATTTAAGCCGGTTGAAAAGTCAGCACAAATACGTACCTTGCCGTTTCCTTTCTTTATCACAACGATGGGTGCGGCCCATTCGGAGTAATGTACGCGCTCGATTATGCCTTCCGACTGCAACCTATTTAACTCAGACTCAACTATTGGTTGTGTTGCGTACGGCACTGGACGTTTTGGTCTAAAGACTGGCCTGGCGTCTGGTTTGAGGTTCAGCTCAGCTCTGGCTATCCGGCAGCATCGAAGACCGGATTGGAACAAACTTTCGTGGCGTTGTTTCAATTCTGCAATTTGACTGTAAAGTTCGAGGTTTATATTCTGAGTCTCTGCGGGGTTCTCAACTTGTAATTTCTCAAATTCCACACTCAACACTTGCCCCGGCTGTGAACGGAGTTGATGGATTACATGATCACGCGCCTCTAATCCGGCTCTTTGTTCGTCCAACACTTTGTTCGAGCTTTCGGTCTCCTCTTCGAACCTGCGCAGCTGGGTGTGCAATCCCTCCAGACGACGCAGATGTTTTTTTGACAATCTCTCTTCATCGCGGTAATTGTCGTCACGCTTTGAAAGCTCGCGCTTCAAAGTGTCGATTTCTGCTTTTAAGGACAAATTTCCACCGTTTGAATCAGCTTCCGTTGAACCACCCAGATCTTCAAGCTGCGCACGCGCCGTTTGCAGCTCTCTTTGGAGATTTCTAATATCTTCTCGCTGTTTCATTCAAAATCCTTCGAGAATTGCTATGTCTTGTACTTTTTCGTCCAATTGTCCTCAGGTCACCTGGACTTCCGATAGCAACTTCGTAAGCTTCCATATGATTCCTGACAACCACAGCTTCTTTAATTTCCTGTTTCATAATCCGCATTGCCTTATCATTTGTCTTTCTGCTCGACTGTTCCACAGATGGTAGATCACGCAACTTTTGTACATGAGCATGGGCGGTACTCAACTTAATGGTCATTTGTTCCATGCTGCGTTGGAGGTTTTCGTACTCACATGTCAGCTGATCGTATTGTATGTCCAATTGTTTTATTTCAACTTCTTTTGATCGCAGTTCGTTCCTCCAGGTATTACCCTCAGAACAAGCTTGGTGATAACGTTCCAGTTCACTTCTCTGGTATTGTGCTTGTGTTTCGGCAAACTGCAGACGTTGTGTCAGTTCCTTCACAGTTTGTTCCAACTCACTCGAAAGTTGTCGAGCACTGTTGAGCTGACTGACGGTTTGTTGCATCTGATTAGTCTGCTCATTCAGTTGCTGTTGCACCCAGTTCAATTTCGGCATTGTCTCATTCTGCTGCATTTGTGCTTTCTCTTGATCCTGGCTATAACGATTCTCCATTTCTAGCTTCACATTGTCTGTGGCCTCCTGCATTTCTCGTATTCAAACTTCCTGCTGCTGTGCTTCTTCTTTGATTTTCAGCAACTCATCACGAAGATTTTCTGCCTCAGTTTCCGAAGCTTCTTTGGCTACCTGGACTTCCCTACCAGCTTTGGCGGTTGTCAGTTCTCACCTGAGCACTGCCATTTCGGAAAAATCGTTTCCTTGCATGACCCCAACAGTAGTGTGCATCCGTTCGACCGCGCGAAGCTGCCGCTCACGGTCATCCAAATCGAGTTGCAACTGTGCTACCTTTAATGTCAATTCATGGTTGGTCCTGCGGAGTTGCGACGCATCCAAGTTCGACCCGGTTGGTGTGTGTACTCCTGCATCCATGCGGCCTGAAAGGGAATACTGCGTCGCTTCCAATATGCCCAAACGTGTTGTTTTTGCATCAAGTTCGCGTTGCATCGCTTTCATGCGAATCTCCTGCTCCGAGTTTTGGAACTGTGAGTGAGTTCTTGCAATTGATGCTGCAACGCACTTTCCTTCGCTTGTAACATTCTGGTTAACATGATCACATCTGCGCTGACCATTGATTGCCCAGGTACAGAGGCTCTTCCACTGGTGGTGGCTCCCATTCCCAATGCTGAGTTACCGATGAGTTGGAAGGCACTACCTGCAAGATGTGGGGACGTCGCCCTGCCGGACGCGGAATGGTAACCCGGCGCATACAATCGGGAGCTGACTACCGTTGGCCCAGTATTCGTCCAGTGTTCTACTAAGGAGATATTCTGGAACATGGGGATACTGGACAGCGCAACTCGATCTTGTTCGGTCAACGTGTGCTCGCGACCTTGAGCAAGTTTTACCATAGCCGCCACACGCAAATTGGCCTCATGGTTAGCTCTCCGCAACTTCTCCAATTCAGGTAAGTAGTTTTGGAAACATTCTTGTTCCAGTGTTTTCAACTGGACCTCTCGATCACTCAGCTCCTCTTGTACATTGACCGGTTACGCAGACAGGCTGTTGCGCTCTCGTTGAAGTTGTTCAACATTTGAACGGAGTACACGGGTCTGGTGTTCCAGCTGTCTCGATTCATCATCCCTTCCAGAGGCGTAAATTTACCGTTCTGCTGTCAGACGAACGCTCTCACGGAGCGCTTCCTCCAACTCCCTGATACGCGAATCTTTCTCGGACATGATACCCTTGAGTATCTCGACATCCGATCGAGCGTTCTCTTCTCGTTTCCGCGTTTCCTCCAGTTGCTGCGTGTGCTTCTTTCTTTCGGTCTGCTGGGTCCGTTTGAGGTTGGACAGGTTGTTTTGTGCTTCGCGTAACTCTTCCCGCAGTTCATGTAACTGCTTCTCCCTATCGAATTTCTCACTATCCAGACTGCGTAGCAACCTGTCCAATTCGGATTGAGGCAGCTATCAGCAGTACGACAGTCATCTGGACAGAGAGCAAGGGTAAAGAAGAAGCGTTACAACAGTAAAGTAGAACCGTTGCAACAGTGGCGACGGAGGTTGGATACAATCATGGCCATTTCATTCGAGCAGATGCAGTCCCTACTTCAGCAGCGGCAGCTTCAGTTTGAAAAATCACAGCGGCAGTTAACTCACTTGCTATCAGAAAAACTCGACATTCAAGTGGGATGGAAACCGGAACTGAGGTTGGTATCCCAGGAAATTGTATCTGGATGCCACAAGCTGCTCAGATTGAATCATGACGGAGAAATGATTGGAGCTTCAGATCACAGAGAAGAATCCCAACCCTGTCATTCAGTCAATTGTGGCCAAAATGTGCCGAACCGGAAACCCCCGACTCCATTATGTAACGGTGGTGGGAGGCATTCTGCTAGATGTTTCGCCCACAAAATTCATCAGTGTCAAAAGGCGCACCAATACAGATGCGTGTGTACTTCAAGGTCACAAGCGAGTTCCAAATTCAAAAGAAACAGGTATCGTGACACAGTGAGAGGCGACTTTTGCAGTATTTTGTGCAGACTTTTCGGGGAAAAGGAAATACCTCACAGTGAAGCGCAAGAATGTTCCGGTATCGCTGCAGTCAGAAACGTTGCGTGCTTTCAAGAGCCTTTCTCGTGCCACCCAGACAAGACTTGGCACGTCAGTCAAACTTATAAGTCAACAGTTCAAAATGCTTCAGGGAAACCTCTGCAGGTGAAAGGAAGAATCGCCTGTGTACTCGAGAATTTGCAATTCTGTGGAAATATCGACCCAACATATTGTACCAATGTTTATCTGTCCGGAAGCAATTGGATTGCGGAGTTAGATTTACTCAAAAAGTCACTAAGTCATATGAGTTCGGTAACGACTGTTACTCTCTGCAACATTGACCGTACCTGTTCCAAATTCTTCGCTGGTTCCAAGTTACCAGTACGGATGACACTGATGTCTTGGCCGAAGCCCGAACAGCCTTGGTCGCGGATCCAAGTGGACCTAGGTGGTTTCCCACGTCGGAAGAGCTGAGCACCCAGGTAACCCACATTTTAAGAGAGGGAGGTGTTACGGAAAGCTTAGAGCCAGCAACCAAGCCGAGAGCAGTAGCGTAGAAGCGGATCGATCTACAACTAGAGATCGAACTCGAGTACAGATCAAAATGCGAATCGATGTGGAATCAGCGGCAAGTTGGGTCATGAACTTGAGCCATTTGAGTTGTGTTAATTAACATCAATTAGCATCTCCAATATTATCATGTTAGTAGTTGTCCACAACCTATTTATTGCGCCATGCTCTCATACAATACGTCTCTCGGTCTACCTAGTTCTGGCCTTTTGTATTCCGTCGGTTGGCTGGGCGCGTGACTGATCAGTCAGACAGTCGCAGTCTTAAGGGGGCAGCTATCAGCAGTACGACAGTCGTCTGGACAGAGAGCAGAGGTAAAGAAGAAGCGTTACAACAGTAAAGAAGAACCGTTACAACAGGTTGAAACACACTATCATCTCGAGGTAAACGCCGATCAGCTCGACGTAACGAGGCCACATAAGAAGTAGATAGACTTTAGGTGTCATTCGCATCCAAGAAGAAACTTCGGGACCAATTTCGTCCTTCAGAAAGGATGCTGAGGTTCAAACGTATTCAGATGTAATATTTAAAACAGCCACTCCTCCCAACAAATCCAAGAGCGGGAGATGACGTTTGGGAGATGCATGTGTTTCGTATACTACCGTTAGTGCCGCTAACTACAAGTCGCAAAAGCAAGTAATTCATTTGTTCATTTCCTTGGAAGTTTGTTTGCAAACGTTTTACCATCATGTGACATGGCATCGGCAGTGCAGTGATATGCAGGGTGCAATCTTGTTGATTGAATCGTCGGTCTGTGATCGACGTGCAGATGACTTTTGAAAGTGACACCTTCCATAATAATAATACTAGTAAGCGCAACCAAATATTTAGAAAATAAAATATTAATCGGAAAACTCACTCAAGACAACCTGAGGTTGGCCGGTAACCGCTTTGAACGCAACGCACTGCCTCAATCCAGCCTACCGCAACAGCCTCGGTGAAACAGAGGGAGCGAGAATCTGCGTGACGCAGCAGGCGTTCAAACGTCAATCCGGTGACCTGAGATCAATAAATGTTCTCGGATCGAAGAGGCATGCGGTCTATGTGAATAAGGCGCTCAAGCCGAAATTGATTGCTACGCTGTCGCGTTGAGCCCATCTTGACCAAAGGTCCTTCATTCGGGAATTTGGTAGGCTACTTCTGTTTATGCAACTGGATAAACAGTTACAGAATTTGATACATACTGAGCGAACTTGTCCCGATAGACCGAATTTCCAGCATTGCACGCAATGAGATTTGAGGTTCGATGTAGATCGACAACCTTTGCAGCATAGGTGATCTGAGCGGCGGAGATCGGTGGCCATCACAGTGTATCAACTTCAATCACTAGTAGAAGATCGATGAAGATGTTATCCGTAACCACTGTAGGCAGTACGTCCTTCGATCCACTTATTTAGTTATGACCCTCGGGGGTAGTCATCGGTGTGAAGGCAGTTAGCCCCAGTTTTTCAGGCGCCTTCGATTCTAAGCCACTGAGTCACGCGGGTAATTATTTTGAATGTAATTTGAATTTTGCAACACTATTGTAAATAGATTGCGACACGCAGTTTTAAATTGGATGGTGATTAATTTCCAGGGACCGTATCCGAAATAGAGGAATAGTAGATGTTGCTTCGCTTCCCACAGTGCACTTCTTATCCTCTCTGTTTGTAGAAATCCTTCCTCTCCCAATCCGAACTGTTAGCTAGGCGACGAAGACACCCGTCGCGAGCAGACCCAGCATTGTGTATTGAGAACAGCAAAAATGCATCACACGACAGGCCGATCAATTCGGCGGTGGCTTCGAAGCTCTGCAGCGAAGGCAGCCAAATGAGGTTCGTGAATACTGCAGATACTCATCCGGCATCATGACACAGCCACCGCAGCTAGCGAATTAAACCATTCAGTAGTGTTAATAGAAAACTGGATAATAATAAAGTACGGGAAGTTGCGCAAGCTCACTTTGATGAATAGATTGAGGCACCCAAATGTTTAAGGAACGTATGTGGCATCTCCTTTGCATTGGTCGCTTTTCAGACTTGGATAGACAGAGCGGCTACGTTGAGCAGTCGTCTTCGTCAGCTGGAACTGTTGAGTGAAGTGGACGGTGAATTCGAAACGTCTGAACTAACATCAAGGCGCTCCTTGAAGCTCTTTATCACACCGAAGGACGAAATTAAGTTTGGCCGTCAGTGACTTCATCTCCCGCTATGAAGTTAAATTTTGCCTACCTCGAACACCGCGCCACCGGCTAACAAAACAAGGCTCTCCTCGGTAAGCGGTGACCAGAAACGTACAAAATCGAACCTAACCTATTCAAATATATATTTTATTATAAAATGTTTGCTTATCGCTTCCTAGCAGTCGTCTACGCACATCATTGTTGCGGACACACTGGTGCCATTCGACATCAACAATGCTCCGCAAGTAACAATGACCAAAGACTTGAAGGCGCCTCAGGGGCAAAAGCACTTTACCATAGAGGACGGCTCACACTGTAGTACACATGGCTTTCCAGACCGATCGAACCCTTCTGATACCACAGGTACAAGAAAGCAGTTCTATCTTTCACAACACTTGAACTGACTTCAGAGGTTATGCACCCATCGTTACTGATGCAGCTGTCAAGGTAATTGAATTGATAAACTATCTCGAATCCATCGTTACTGAGGGTCATCAAATGGCTGGTGGTCCTGCAACAACACTGAACTTTGAAGGTACGAAGCGTTTGTCAAGTGATCGGACCACCCTGGAGAGGTTGTACATAGTTGATTGGACTATTTGAATATGGTTAAAATACAAGACAAACTTGTTTGGCTCACGGACACCTGGGACCGGTGGTGCAGATCAATTGGAAGAGCTTGTGATAAATGCCTACTGTTCACGCCTCCATTTCTTCAGCCTTACTGGTCCACTAAGCTTGATTTCCAACACGCATGCTCCGTTCTAGTTCGCGCATAATAGTCCATCTGGTTACACTGTGCTGAAAAGCATCGAGGGCCCTTCTGCTGGACTTCAACAGGTTCACTGACGTCTCGGATAGCCACTGACTGGTGTAGTGACGATTGATAGTATCACAAGCGGATGCTTCTGCGTAATGAATGGCGGCCGAAATCCTATTCCATTGAAGCTCGGTAGCATTAGGACGAGAGAGGGAAAGTTCGGTACGCAGGGCGTCCTAGTAGCTTTAAGTGACTGAAGACTGAGATAGATTGTCCGTCGCCAATAGAGTGGGACACTTAGTACGTCACCCGGTAAAGTTCGTGGAAAGAGGACAGCGCAAAAACGCATGATTAAAGTCGATGTAAGTAATCCAGAACGAGCGACAATCCAGGATGGAACCACGCCAACTGTAACTTATGGCAACCTGATCTATTTGGGTCTATCACCGGCCAACTTTAGAGAGACGCCGTGGTACATCAGCGCGCGGTGTCTAAAACCAGTGCTACTGAAAAAGACACTGCTTCGTGATTGCTGAGGCAACCTTGCTTGCGTCATCTCACAATCTGTCTTCTGATGTTATTTGCGCATAAAGCGATGCACGTGACAAGTGAAGCGGTCTGATCCAATCCGGTGATGGCCACGTGATTAAAAACTTGGACAAGCTGTGGCAGCTCGATCATGTAATTCAGGGAACACTTAGTATCCAACACATGGCGTTGTGCGCTCACTTACCCCCAACCCCGAGGACCCAGAATACCGAAAGCTGATCAGGAGAAGAATGCCGTAACGATACCACAAATTGAAAGTAAGGACAGATGGGATGGAATCTGTGGGTCCATCCGGTGTTCCAAAGCATGAAACAGGTCGCACACAACTGGTAAGAACGTTGTGACTATTAACGTGGTCATCCCGCTCTCTGGCTACCGTTCAGTCTGAGATGATCTGGCCAGGAAAGCTAGACTACTGTGAGGTGCCCATGGTTGACGGTTCCTCAGTTTAACTACAAAGAGGACACCAGTTTAATGAAATCCGGGTGGCGATGCCGAACAGGCCTCGACACGTCCGAGCGCTGTCTTACGGACCGGCCTCTACCTAGACACAGGCCATTTTAAACAGAACTAGCTAAGTTGATGTGTCTGAGTTACGACAATATGAATTACGTGATGACACTTAGTTCACAGGCCCCGATCATTATACGGCAATTTCCAAAAGGCAATTGGTGTCCTCAGGAAAATTTATGGAATTGTGACCACAGGTTGAGTTCCTTTTGTTTGCAACCAGATGACACCACAGCGACAAGCGTGATGGAGTGACCAGTTACTCACGAAAGTTAAGCGATAATGATCTCTGTGTTATTGTGGTTTCAGGTAGATGGTTGTGTCATCGAAAAATGGACATAAAATTGGAAGCAAACGGCAACTGAGCAGCGAACATTTGGAGAATTGCTTTTACCAATCGTACTGGAACACATCCGGAGCGTCTGCATCGATAGTTAGCACAACGCAGGCAATGCAAACAGACGATGTTCGAGATCTCGAACGAAAATCAGCTCAACTCTCCGAAAGCCTAGCTGGTTATCTCTTGAAACGACTGAAGGGGATTAGTGACAACAGCGTCGGATTCATCCAGGAAGTGGTTCAAGTGAGTTGCTATCCAAGAGTGGCTATATGCTGATCATGGCGCCCGCAATGAGTATGCACCTTTCCACTGCTTAACATTGTTAGGTAACACAGAAACTATGTCGCGACATTTCGGGGAAACGTGTCCAAGAGCCACATTTGGTACAGGCGGAGTTCGCAAATCTCCGCACCGTCTAGTATCATCTTGCTGTCTGCTTTTCAAAGCCTTGGGTGGGCAAGACGGTGCCTAGTGAGCAATTGTTTTAAGCGAACATGGAGTCGTGACGGTTGAAACTATGTGAAAAGACAATGCGTTCGTGCCTTTCTCTACATGATGCTAGTAACCCAGAAATAGTTTAATACGTGAAACTCCAGCGCAGGATACAGCGTAAAGAAACGACAGGCACTGAGGTCCGTCACTTAACAAGGAAGAAGATTGAAAAACCACCAGACGATGGTTTGAGGCGTGAGCGCGAATGACACGTATACTGATCCGCACTTAGTTGAAACATCTTAAGATCATCATCATTATTACACAAGTTGTGCCGCAATACACAAGGAAAGAAGAAAAAGCATGCAACCGAGGCACGCCAGTTGAACTACCAGTAACGGATGGGCATCATTGAGGAAGGCTACCAGCCAGTTATTGTGCCGTAAAAAAGTTATCTTTTGCTAAGAAATCAGATCGCGGTTGGAGGGTGAGGGACAAAAGACTACCAACCCAAACATCACTGAGGTCGGCTCCAAGCAATGTCAGGAGGCGAATCCAGCCAAACATGTTCATCACTTTTCGGACCCCAACCAGGGGGCCGAGAAGTTGCAACCGAGGCCAACTTCGAACAAAGGGCCTTCATTCCTCTTGACAAAGTCATCGCTTGGTCACCTCCGCTCTTCTTCCATCCACATCCCCGGTGCGCAAACAATGCACGTCGCCGAAGCCGGTGTGTTGGCATGCATAACACGCGGTCCAGCCATGCCAACTTCATATACCAGTATGGAAACATCTAACCACGGGTGCATGTATAGATCTTAATTAATCTTAGTTGTTTTGCAACTACGGTCACTAACTTGACGATATACGTGCAAGTATATTCCACATCAGTGGCAAAACGTAAGCAAATTTCATGTGGTGCCTACGCAACTCTCCATGGACTAGATGGGCTCGGTGAACGACAATGATAACCCGGAAGAAAGAGTTTAGGCGGATCGACCCGCTCACTTATCACATGAAATGTTCTATATTGAAAAGGTATAACAGAAAGGTGTTCAGTTTCAATGATGTTTTTCGCAGTAACAGTGTAGGAAATATCACAATACAAAAGTGGTGGGAGTGCCGAAGCCCTTAATTGGACAGATGAAAATCGGCCAAAAGAGGCAGATGGTCACTGGGGAATTCTTTGTTCGGGAGGGCATACACATCTAACCCGGTTACCGGTTCGCCTTTCGAGCTCATATCCATCGCTGCGGGAGGTGCTTCAAGGGTGTGCACGATTTGGTCCTGTCTGGGTAACGGTAAGGTCCGTACGCATTTAAGACCAGAGTCGGCGCTGTAAAGTATGACGTCTAACGAGGCCTTGAAGCCAGGAACCCAGTTGGTGAACGATTCCGAATCGTATGAGTACGCCGAGGATAATCGGAGAGGGAGGGAGGAAGCTTGCAAACCGTGGGCGTCATCCAGTAATGCGTTAAACGCAGGTCCATGCGGACGTTGATTGATGTCACCGCACAGGATGATGCTTACTGGAAGACTGAAACACGACAATAGATGATTGGTAACGATGGGAAAACAAGGTGAGTGATGTGAGCGGAATACTGAATGTGACGACTCCGTAGGTTCCCTATATAATATATCAATTTCACTTAGAAAGGTGTGTAATACAAGGTGCGACAGTTATTATGACAACGTTTATGGTTTTAAATTCCTCATCATCCCGTGGTAGATGCAGTTGCCTCGGACCATGCGGTTCTTACCATTTAACCAGGAATGATCTGTCGGCGGCTCGACAAAACCGGCACACAAACGAGAGACAGTTGCATTATCTGTATAATCTTGAACACAGAAAGGAGTGAGGCGGGTGGGTATGTTTAGAGCAAACCGTTCGAATTCGTCTTGTTCAGCACATCACAGAAAAGAAGAGAGCGAATTACTCGGTGGGGAAAAAATTCCAACAATGGGAAGTGTTATGGGATTCCTGAAATGGTTTTAAGAAAGGCACCGTAACTAACTAACTCAAGCGGCTACCACACACAGCCAGAAAGGAGTTGCACGGCCGCTCTTCTTCTCAATGGAACTTGTCAGTGGCGCTCGATGCGTGAACACGGGCTGGTGCCATTAGGTTGTGTGTGGCCAGTGGCGGCGGACCATAAAATCTGATTCACAGTTGCGATATAGTATGCTCATCTTCTGATGCCGTGCACGCCACCAAGAAGCAAGGGGCAGAGTTGGTTCCCAGATTTATGACTTCCACTTTCATGACTTCAAAGATCACATAGGTTCGAACCCCGAAAATAGTCGAGGGATATGCGTACTGCTAACCAGCTCTAATGGAGGTAGATAAACTGCTGGGCAAAGTGTCTGGGTGAAACGGTAACACGTAGATACCACAGACCGAATACATGAGTGACATTGACTCTGTGACTGGGCTAGGTTCGGTAACGCACTGGTGTGGACCATCCAAAAGCCCCCATCTACGAACGCAACATAAGCCAGCCTGATCAAGTCTTTCGGACAATGTTGTGTCTTTCTGCCACCTCATCGACAGGCCACTTCGTGGTCTCGTCCAAGTTGGTGCAGCGAAAGCACGTAGTGCAGTCAGAAGAAGGTGATCAACAGGCATACGGAGGGCACACTCAACAGAGGTAAGCTGTTCAAGTTGGTTAGACATACCGGTCGCTTTCCAAACAATTCAGTGCTGCCCCCCGGTGCAACCATCATACGCGAGAAACACCCCGAGAATGCTGGTGATCAAAGATGACTTATCTCTTCATATCCTGATTGCGAACTAGACATTTAGAATCCATACGACACAATAAGCTGGACACTCCACTTTTGATAAATAGGCTGATATTCCACCGCCTCTATAGTTGACTGAGAATTCGGAGAGCCACTGGGGCCATGCTGACATCGGCAGTACGCCGGTACGCAGTGCCGACGCTTCGCTGCCGCGCAACCATCACCGGTCGCACGTGGACTAAGAATACTGCGAGGGTCGCCCGGTCCCTATGCAGGCTCGAAGCCGTGCCCTCGGATAACAAGGCAGGCTTGTGATCCTTAAGTTTACGGGCTTTGCTGATATGAGGAATAAGCACCACAGTGGCAACCAGAACCAGCGGAGGTGTCGGATGTTCCTCAACAGTTTGGGCACCACACTACAAATTGTGTTATTACTGAGCAAGTGTGATATATAAGTCCAACAGCATATCTGTTTTCGGAGTTGCCTATCGCTGCTCCTATACAGAGAGACCATAAGTGGTTTACACTGCACCACCCACACACACCCCATATCCAGCGGAAACCAGAAGGAATAAGAGTGGAAAGCATGCAGACTGGAGCGAGGATTAATTCGAAGTCAGCCCACACTCCTTCAACATGCATACCATTCATAGGAATATTGTTCAAGATATGTACCAAACGCACAAAGGGTGGTGGCTGGGACGTAGCCTGTTCCACACCGGATGGAAGCACTCTTTGGTTCTAGCATGCATCAAAGACGGCGCGCTCTATCTCCGTCATCCACAAGCAGCAGTCTCATGAAGGTAACTTGTCAACATTCGTATCAACTTCAAGAGTTGCGGTAGAGGGAGTTTCAAAACAGAAAGGAGTTCCGACGACAAGCATTCCAGCTTGTACTACAAGCTGATACGCCCCACAAAATGAGAGACGGTTTTCAAGTTCGTGGAAATCACCAAGGCGAATAGTACGAATGTGAAGGACTGTTCCGGTATTTGAAAAAAGTAATTATGCTACAAGTGTGGAAGCCGATGCGGATATCAGGGGAGCCCAGTGGGTCGCCGCAGAATGACCGGTACGGAATTCAACGGCAATGGAAATAGGGCTAGCTTGGTATATGGTGGCAACCAGAATCAGATTTATTGCAATAACGGGTCGCAGAGCAAGAGGCTGAGACATAGAGCTCACGAAACAAACGGTACATTGACGTGCTGGGAAATGAGACCACTTTCCTGAGGATAAGGGTTTAAAAATACCGACGAACCGATACAGGGACCCGATAAATCGCTAAACAGGAAGTCACAACCTGGCAGCCGGTGCAAGCTGATTGGGACGAAGCGAACGAGTTACGGTTAGGTTTGGGCGCATGCAAATTTATTCAGCGAATTTGGTGACGCAGTAGTGAGGTGATGTAGGTATGCAGGTGTGTGCGGATACCGAAGCAGCTATTATATGGTCAAGTGAGTGCTGGAAAGCCGCATGTGGGGAAACCGAAGCTTCAATGCCAAGACATGATCAAAATGAGCCTATCACATTCAAATGTTGAATACGTGTTAGGAATCGAAGGCGGCTAATCGACGTGCATCGCGCAATCTGATCACGAAAGCTGTTGCCGAGGTGCAAGAGAAAGCCTTCGGACACGCAGAGAAGAAGCGGCAGTCGCCGATACGGTATACTCCATTGACGTCAAGTGCATGCGGTCGCGATTGCCTGAGTCAGGCAGGCCTAGTGAGCCACGAGCGAGGCCACTAGGGACCAGCATCGAAACGACGACGAGTACTGCTGAGAACGTAGGCAGAAGCGGCGCAGCGTTGGTAGGTACGCTGCATTCGATTTACTAACCGCGTGCTGGTGTGCTGAGTTTCTCTATGTCAGGTGGCTGGTTCGCAATCTTGTCTTAATGCTTACTTTTTTCACCTCATTTTAACGTCAACGATGAAAGGTCCTGCTGAGAACGTAAGCACAACCGGCGCAGTGTTGGGAGGTAGGATTAAGCAGATTGTTTTTAAATTCGTTAACTATTTTGCGTTTGGAGCATTTTTTAAATATATCTTTTTCTAGCATCTTGAACTTATCGCGGAATGCTGACAACCAATTTATTTTATATGCGCATTTAGCAAAGAGTTAAGTCGGTTTATCCGTATGGTTTATTCGATAACTATCATTTGCTACTGTCATTTCAAGTGGTTGGCTGTTGCTTGACATCCACGGTGTGGCTGCACTTGATGTGCATGTTGACAAGATGCCTACCGGGCTAACACCCTCCACTTCGATTCCTGGCTCCAGGAGACAGTTGATCGTTGCTGGAGGGGACGGGGTGCACGGTCCTTGTGGCTCGAAGAGTGGTTCAATGCACTGAGTGTGGAGCGGACTACGGTCCAGCCATCGACTTGTGTGCGTTTGATTCCCAATACAGCGCGCTTGTGTTTGCCTGTGAAGGAGTGTGGGCCGGCTACGTTGATGAAAGGTGGCTCCCATCCACTTGCCTTCCGGTCTTATTCGGGTTTACACTGGATATGGGGTGTGTGGATGGGGTTGTGGGTGGTGCAGCGCAAGCCATCCATGGTCCCTCTATAGGCGCAGACGTGCTGTGGCTGTCGCCGTGGAGGCCACAGTGATAGGCAAATCCGTAACCGGATGCTGCCAACCGTGTGTGTGCGTGTGTAGAACTCACCCCAACTGGCAATGCGCCCTATTGGCCACATCGTTTAGATGCTGACGCACGGCACATGCTTGTATGTAACGCCAAAAGTCAGCAGTCGGAGAGAAATAAAAGTGTGTGCTCCCAATGAGAATTGGCGCACTGGTGGTGCAGGCAGTTCCATTTTCAGCGTCGAGTATCCGAAAGAGAGCAGCCGCCAGGCATTGCGAATATGAACACTGGCGATCGTGATCACATGCATCTATTTGCTGTGTGGGATCCAAGGCGATGGAGGGGTGCAAAGGACGCTTGAGTAATTCGCTCACAAATGGATTGGTTTCAGCGTAGAGCATCAAAGATGGCACATGGTTCTCTTCAATCAACTTGAACCTGTCAGTGCGATAGAAAATGGCACAGCCTTCGCCCTGGAAGCAAGTGGGGAGAAAAGGAAGCTGTGAAATTGGAGACGGAGAAAGCAATCATCACAAAGCAAATAAAATGTTGCATTTTCCGACAAGTGGAGTACATTCTCGGTATAAAAGGCGGAGATTCAGTGCTTAAGGGGTAGGCATCCAGAAGAGTATAAACAGCGGGGCCTAATGTCAAATTCTTTAGCTGCTAGACGGTAACGAAGCACAAATGGGATGAGGAACGCTGGAACACAAGTTGCCAACATCTGGCCTGAAGAGGCTCCAGCGTCATGAGCAAAACGCAGCCGCAATACAAAACCGAACTGTAATCTAATTACGAATTCTGAGGTGTTGAATTGTCACAATACGATTTGTTGGGCAAGCCAATCAGAGTACAATGAGTTGTGAGCAGGTAGACAGGTTTGTCCGAAATAGTTCTTAGGCAACCCGAAAGGAGCCCTTTCATAGATATAAGACTGGCCGATATCGACGGATGAAACAGCCAGGGCTTTGAGCATTGGCTGGCAAGCGAGTTCAACTAAGCATTGGTGCATAGTTAGCTGATGTCTAAGTTGACAGCACGGATAATCGATACAGCTGTGTCGTATTTCGGACGAGCCACAAACCAAATCAGAGCACAAGGGATTCGACAAAACATTCGATTGAGTCAGAGAAGATATAGTGTGAGAATTCGTGTTCTTAAGAGGAAAGTGGTATTGAGTAGAATTCAATAGAAAAGACCTATAGAAAAATTCCGTGTCGATAGAAACTACCAGAGGCCTGACAAACGCTCTCGCTAGATGGTTCCAGACTAGAACTGCTCAACGTTGGCTGGCTTTAGGGCAAGAGCGCTCTCATTGGTTAGTTCCTGGCCAATGGACTGCAGGCCAAGTTGAACTGGGCTTCTGCTGAGACTAATGACATGGAAACATATATGAAAGGGTTCTACGGAAAGGCTACCTTAGCAACAGCAAAAAGATAGGAAATTGGTGACAAGCAAAAGTGTATGACTGCCGTCCAAAATCAAAGCAGACGACCAAAAGATAATGGCCAAAGATAACTGGTAACGAAGTAGGATGCAGCAGAAAGATTTCACATAACGCTTCAAAGAAGCTAGTCGAAGGGGGATTGCATAGCATAAGTTTGAGCCTAGCCTCCGTGAGAAAGCTGCTACGCGCTGGGAGAATAGATCGCAAAAGACACTCACCTTTTCCCCTTCTGAGGATGCTGGTGTGCAGGATGAACCGTCTTGGTCCTGTGAGAACTTTCGTTTCGGCAAGTACAACCCATCCATGTTACACGAATACCTCAAGGCAGGTCCAAGATAGCGATGAAATACACTCGCGTCAACCTCCTGCAGGCAGAGAAAATCAGCATTGAAGGAAAGGAGTTGGCGTAACAAGAGAGGTAGTCTGTAGCTCCTGTCTAGATACTCCTCGGGACAGTGGCGAAAGATGCGTCGCCCACCTTCCATGGAGCAATACATGTCTGCGAGTAGGTTGTAACTGAGCACTCGAAATTCTCTCGGAGACGTCAGCTTCCCGACAGCTTTTAACCTAAGAAGAGGAGTGACACGATCTTTTCAAATCGCTAAGGCATCACAGCAAATGAGACAAGCAACGGAAAAGCAAAATGACAACCTGGGAATACAAGGGAGACCAATCTATTTCTATTCTCATGAGGAGGAATCTTGATGATGTTTTAATGGTTCATCGCAGCTGCTCACAAGTCACATGAGTCGAACCCAAATCCGGAAAAGCACTAGACGATTGTTGCCCTGGTGGGACTCGTTAGTGGTGCGCATTCCTTCGGTCCCCTACTAGGGATCGAACCCATGACAGCTAGCAGCTTAGGTCAACTAGCCAGCAGCTTATGCCACTGAGCCATGAAGGACGCAAACTGTCTGAACTTGCAAGCTAACTGGGATATAGCGCAACCTATCCTGCATTGAAATAAGGGTTCCTATGATTGGAGAGGACAGTGGCTGGCCTCCGAGATTACGAATTCCAATACACAGTAGCTATGGCTGCATAACATTTGATAACTGTGAGGGCGAATGTTTAGATGGGGACGAAACGACCGTCTGATGTTTTTCCGGATTGATATTTGATTTATCTGGCTTGTGAGCAGCTGGGTTAAACCATTAAAATACCACTTCTTTTCAGTGGCCGAAGAAAGCACCAGCATGGAGAGAGTCTGACTGAAGATTACTAGGGAAGTTGATGATAGATATGTGGTTAGATCTGTCGCGCTTAGTCTAACAGTTCCTGAGCTGCAGGGGCATGCTGGTGAAATGTGATCGAGAATGTTCACAACGCATTATGAAGACGAACAGAAGCAGATGACTGGGACGTATGCTCTGCTGTAGCCTATGGAAGTTGCGCATCTAACAAGGGTGCAAGACAGTCGTCGTTGCGGAGCGCGCAGAGCTGGACAATCTGGTTGCAACTAGTTCATTAGCATTCTAGGTGGCAGGGTTAGTGTAGGAGAGTTCGCCGTTCCGTAGCAAGAGCCGGTGAAAGCTAAATCCTATAAAGATCTGTGCGGTTGCTAAATTCGCTTTGCTTTGTAACCGCATGGGCTTATATAAGGAACGAGTAGTGGATACGATATCCATCGCTGGATTTACCTTCTGCTAACTCTCCTGCACTGATGTCGTTACGTGGCATGGTGACGAAATATTTGCAACCAAATTGCCCAGTCAGATGAACACCACAATAACTTAACAAGCCAATCGAGCTACCAGTAGTTCGGGTAATTTTGAACGGATGTGACAGGCGAACCAAACTGAACTGGTATAGCTCAGCATCAAGACGCCCTGTGATTAGCGCAGTGGTTGCGTCAAGCAGTGCTCCGATAATTTTTTGGAGATGAACAGAAACACTTAGAGTCCGAGATGAACAAGGGAAGGCGAACATTGCATTGGACACGCTTAAACTCGGTGTCATTGAGCGATTCGTTGCGAGCCGTGAGGTAACGGATACAACAAACAGCGAAGGTCTGATTTCTCGAAACTACCAACCTCTCAGTGTGAGTAGGAGCCGGCAGTAGTCGAAGTCAAAACCAATATCTGAAATCAGCTCAGGGTGAAGAATTCTTTTCGGTAAACTCTCATCGGACCCAAACGTTTACCAAACACTGATATTGGGGAAAGTGTCAACTCAGGCGGGGATTAACTACTGGACTGCATGAACGATCAAAATCGATAACTTGAGACAGGGATAGAGATGGTGTGCCAAGTGAACTAAATAAACATGCATACAAAACTCAGTAGCCCGAAGTAATTAAGTAGGTAACGTAACAACCAAATAACAGTGTCCGTGATTCATTGAAAATCAAAATCAGTAGCCTGCAGGTTAACACATCGGCTACTATATCACATGAATAGCTGTAAAACTTAAAACCGTGGTGGACGTGTTTCACGGGTGGATAACTGATCACATTTGAGACTAGTTGTTAGATCGACTCGTCGAGTAACACTATCACACGGATTTGGAGTTGTGTGGATGGGGAGATAAGGAGCATCTCTCTGTGAGGGGTAAAAATCAACGGGAATGAGGTAAAGCGTTGCATGGCAATGTCACCAGTAGGATCGAATGTTGGTCTTCAAATCGTTTCAATGGCTGAACTGACAACCATGTGACAGTGTGCCAATGGTAGTGGTATTGTGTTGTACGGCGACGCTAGTTAGACGCTTTAACTGTTCAACGAAACAGGGAAAAATGGTTACTCATCGGCAAGTCCACGTCAAGAGTAGATGTAGTTTATTGAAAACAACCGAATCAAATGTGGCATGCATTCGTTGTCAGCAAAGCACAGTCATGCTGTTTGCGATGCAGTTGTGAGATACTAAAGAACACAATCCGATTGACCATCACTGAGTGTGAGACAACAACAACAACAACAACAACAACAACACCCGGTACACTGGTGTGGACAAAAACGGAAAGAGAGCGATACGGAGTCAGGCGGGCGGTGAAACAACATACGATGTGTAATATGTGTAGAGAACAGGAATACATCGGAGTTTTGCGGATAAACTGCCGTGCGACCAGTTAAAGCAACGCGGTTGGTGACCGGGATCCTAACGATTGGGATGTGCTCACCTTTCCGCATGCAACACTTGCTTCGGACCTTCAGTGATGGGCCAAGCGCATTCCACAGGGTCTCCGTAACATTGCCACTGGTTTGAAGTACCGAACGGAATACCTGGTTGACCTGCCTCATCGCGTGGACGCACGTTTAATCGAACGCGACACCCCAAGTGTTCCGGGCCGGGCGTGAATATCAAACCAGTGTGGCAAGGTTTAGTGGGCCATTTTGTAGACTAAAAACAAAAATTAATCTGAGACTAGAAATGAATCGCGGGCAATCATTCGATCAAGCATCGAGTTGCCTCCGTCTGTATGACATTTTCAAGAGTATGCAAAAAGTATGAACAGAGAGGGGTTACATAATCTTGTACAATCGACCCGTAATTCCGAGGTACCTTCTCTGATGAACAATTCTGACAGCACCTTAAAAGCATGACAAAATAAGAGCAACGTCGCAATGTGACGTGAAGCAGGTGATGGGAGTTGGAAAATTTCCCATAATCCTCACCGTCTAACGACCGAATGATGATTTTATGACAGCGAATTAGCGTGGAACCTGTGCACGTATAGTGGGAACGAATACCTATCATAGCCTAACCCGCCACTTGAAGTTTCGGTTTGAGTACTTGGGGAAGCAATTTGCTCGACTGAGATAGCCATCTCCTCTCAGCAGAACGTTTTTTGAGGATGTTAAAATTCTACAGGCCCGTCCAAAACTAGTTCGATTTTTGAAACAGATCCTGTGTAAAACACCCAAGTCGAATGGAGAATGGAGCGAGTAACTGTTTCAATGGACTAGGCCTGACATCATAACCATAGTTACCATCACCAACAGTGCGTAATCAAAACGTGGCCATGTAGGTTGCGTTGCGTCCATGCAGTTATACTCGACGTATTCGCCAGAGAAATTCAGATACTGCACAATGGGCTTCAATGATGCGAGGCCTGCATTCAATATGAAACACATCATGCCGATTCACAGATCGGAGACGCCAGTGATCCCACTACTCATGACAAAGGTGCCTTCCGGTTACTGAATACTGAAATTAGAGAACGAGAAGATATAAATCTGTGTTACTGCTTCGTCGTTAGGTAGGGCATCTGCGCGGAGTTACGTCGCTGATCCTGCACAGTGGCACCATATTACAGCTGTATTACATCTTCCTCGGGGTGCGATAGGCTCCCTATAGCTGTAATCCTCAAAGTGCGCGTCGGGGAATCTCTTAAATTCCAACATCAAGTTCGTATCAACTATTGTCTCCGGCAACTTGTTGCAATATTTCACCACCCGACGCTTATAGCATAGAGAGTGAGCGATGCGCTTTAAATCCGGTACCACCAGTTTGTACTGGTGTCCGCGTGTGCAGCAGCGGCCTCAACATAGGGAAGTGGCCTAGGTGCAATATGCGGTGCGTCATTATGAGAGCAACTTGCCGCCGACGATATGACATGGTAGACAACCTCAGTCTCCTACATCGGTCCTCGTACGAAATACACCGTAAACTGGGGATGAGCCGGGCAGCTACATGCTGAACCCGTTCTAGTCTCTGTACCTCACCTATCCTGATCGGACAATAGGCGGATGAGTCGTAATCAAGAAATGGTCTTATTACGAAAGAGAACAAGCGAGTGGTAATCGCGTCAGATCAAGTGCAGAAGCTGCGTCTAAGCGCTCAAAGCAGACGTAATCCGTTTCTGTACAGTCTGTTCGTGTTGTCGACGGACTTCAGATCATAGCGTGAGAGTACACCTAGATCGCTTGCAGAGCTTGTTGGATGCAGCGGTTGGCCGGCTAGGGTGTACCTACGCCCATTACCATCCTTCCACAGATTCATGAATGATGATTTGATGCTGTTGACCGGCAAATCAACTTCTGCAGACCACCGGTCGAGGTCATGCTGAAGGACGTCAAAGTCGTCGGGAGAATCAATAACCCCCATGTGATCCTGAGAATGCAGTGTGCTAGAAAAACGTCCTAGTAGAATCGGAAAACATTTAGCGTGAATAAAGAGCATGTCCAGACTCCATCAGCTAGTGTTAGATAGAATGACACAACTGTCTCAAGCTGCAAAGTCATCTGTCGCAAATGGTAGGGTTCGTTGCTTGAAAGTAGCCGGTGACTATAATCATGCATTATAACTGCGATACCAACAAAAGAGTAAGTGCGAAACGAATACTGATGCTAGTGTTATCGAAAGGCAATAGGATGTCTATAAGAAGTAAATTTAGCAAAGGTATTCTTCCCCGTTTTCATGTGAAACGAGTATCCAATGCAGGAACGTGTAATAGTCGACTGTTTCCGTAAACATCAATATCGTAGCTTTTGTCGTGATGAGGAGGGATACCATTGGAAAAAGAAATGAGCAAACAGGCGATGAAAGATCACATCTGAAGCGTTCGGTAATATGGTTTAACGCATCCCACGTGGCCAACCAGAGAACTTGGATGATGACCACACAAAATATCGAACTTGCGTTGAAAAGTTCATTTTAGACTCTGCGATCCAAATGGCGTGTGCAGCGCGGGTAAATTTGATCTCTTTCCAAGGCCATGTTGCAATGTCCCAAATGCGATTTCGGAAACACGTGATAACACGGTGGTGTAAAGGTTTTTGGTTCGTCATCAATAACTCGCCGTGCTCGATAGATCTCTCATCCCTGCACACGAATTGTATAGTGAGCCAATGACGTATAATATAGGTAACGGGTCAACCGGAATGCATATGTGAGCGAAACATGTTGTTAAGACGAATGAGACTAGATTCCATTAACGGAATACATTTAAAACAAGCGTAGCATTCTCTTTCCAAAAGACGCAAATAACAAGCAGTGGTCGACTGCGGATACAATCGTGAAATGAACCTCATCACGTGCTTATGGGGCGGTGAGTAAAATGGTCTATTCTCCGGTTCAAGCCGATCGGAACATAAATGCATGATCCAAGGACAGCAAACACGTGAAAAATGAGCGCAGTAACACAAAAAATCGTAACATGAAAATTGATTAGTAGCACGTGAAGAATCGCACGTACAAGTTCGCGTTGCCCTCATCAATCAAAGCGACGGGTGCTGCACTTTAACAATCTGTTCGGTTGGTGGTGAGAGCTCGGTCCAGTGTGGTAACTATGATCAGAGTCCTTGAATGTGGTAGGTTGACATGGTTCAAAAACGCTTAACAATGGGTGAGAAGTGAAGAATAATTGAACCAAATTGTACACAGATGATGTGGAAAAGGCAAAAACGACCGACTAGGCGAAAAACATTGCAAATGTTAAACTATAACTACTGCTTTATCTCTTTGAGACATGCAGCGCAAGCACCATGGCGTTCCTCCAACGAGATTTAAGATGACGCAGAGGATGTGCTGACATGTGGGCGTGAAATCCAATCATTTCAATCGTTAGTTTATCGAAAGGGGCAGTGAGTGACGGAGTCTGGAGCAACAAATACCAGCCGGAGAACTTAATATTTAACTACGTATAGACATGGAGCTATGGGAGTCAGAGTAAGGTATAGTTGACTTCAAAAAGTGAACAGATAGAAATCCGTTTTTTTTTCAGAGGGCGCTATACGATTCGGTTACCCAAATCAAAGTAGGCAGTTGTCTTGGGAGACACCGCTCCAGGCCTATCAACAAGTAGGTGCAGCGGGGTTAGGGAATCGCGCGCCTCTTGGGAGCCGGTGGATGAAGACTGAATTCATTGGTCGTCTACAAACAGGGGCCCAATTTTCCCCACAATTTCAGTATCAGGTTGCTGGAATACAATGCTCCATAGGGATAAAGTAGGGAACAGTGATTAGTTAGTGGCATGGTGTCCGCCACGTCACTGTGTTGTTAAACGGACATATATGGTTTTTTATAGGGAGCTAACACTAGCACTAATGCGACCGTTTTTAACTTGATAATTGTCTATTCAGTTGAAGTAGCCCAACGTGTTATTGTGCAATTTCAGGAAATCACATCCAAGGGGGGATTCCGTTTAACCAAATGGAAGTGCAACGAGTTTTTGGTACTAGGAGAATCACCGATGTATAAATTTGTTTGCGATGCTGTTAACAATCCGATAACGTGCACCCCACATTGAGGCGAAAAATGCAACCTATGTAATGATGATGATGATGATCATCATCATCATCAACAACAACAACAGTACATCAGCCATTGGAACTGATGCTTCGCTGCCATACAACCATGAGGACCTATGAAATAGAGTAAGAAGAGGGAGAGAAGGGGGACTTACCTGAAAACCTTGATGCCCTGAGCAAACATTCAGGGTCAAGGCGCCTACACTGAGGCACACAAACCATCGCACCACGGTAAGGTCCAGCCTCATTGCGATGGACATCGCTCACATCTCAATCAGTTACTGCCGGAGGGACTGCGTCCAACTGTCTCTCGATTTGAATCACATGTGTAGACACTGATCATGCACTTGTATGTGCGGGCGCGTTTTGGCGAACGCCCTCGACGACCATGTGAACGCATTGAATGTGTTTGGAAGTACGCTGACTTGCGGGTTGAGTAAGAGCTCAGTGAGTACAGTTGAAGGTCACCGGTCGCAAGTTTACTGGACCTTGCTAGCAGCAGACAAATCCACATATGTTAAGTCTACTCGCCAACATGGACATTGGGTCTCTTCGCGGTCTCTGAAACTTGTCGATGCTCGCAGCTGGAAGCGAACACAACGAGACTCGCAAAGAGCTCCGGGCAAAACCTCGTGCTAGCCTGAAGGGTGACCGCGAATCCTGATGTTCGCATCGTGCGTCAGAAATGGCAGTGTCTGCTGTCTTTGGTAACCATCGGAAGTTGTTCCGTCTGATACTGGAAAAGGGCAGCAGGAGACCTGGTGTTAGTGAAACTATACGCGACGAGAGTAGACACCTTATCCATAACTTGTCAAAACGCTTGGAGCGTTGGGCTGAGCACTTTGAAAGCCAATTTAATTGGTCATCATCGTCATCAACAACTGATGCTTCGCTGCCATACAACCACGAGGACCTATGAAACAGAGTAAAAAGAGGGAGAGAAGGGGGACTTACCTGAAAACCTTGATGCCCTGAGCAAACATTCAGGGTCAAGGCGCCTACACCTTGTGTAGACAACATACTGTCACAAACATCTGGCTATCGTGCAAAGATAAGACGGCATCGGCGAGACAGCTTCCTTGTGGCTTTCAATGCTCCGTGTCATAAGCAGCCATCACCGCGCAGGTAACCATGCACCAAACACACTTT